AAAGAGCCTATTGATTGGTTTGCTGTTCCGAGCCTGTGGTCAGGCTCTCGAGCCACTCTCGAGTAATTATTGGAAAAGAGTTATTGACTAGTTTGCTGTTCCGAGCCTGTCCAAACTAATCCCAGATCTAGGAAACAACAAATATCCGGTTGAATCCTAATTCCCTTCTCTTCCTCTCGGGACACGAAGAATGGTGTCTAACAACAGACTTCAAAAGGAAGCGTGACAAACGGGCAGAAACACCCATCACCCTGCTGGTCGCTGAGGACCTCGGAAGCGGGCGCAGCAAGTGACAGGCGTTGTTGCCCTTGGCTTCAGCGAACGCGGGACGACCCCTCCCCGGGTTTCCTCGCAACGTCTTGATGGATCAATCGGGGCATGAGAGAGAGAGAGAGAGAGAGAGAGAGAGAGAGAGATTAATCGACTGCAGTGGGTCGTTGGATGTGGTGAGTGGTTGGCCGGCGTCACGGGTAGGCCGTGAGATGTGGTGGGCACAGTGATTGGCATGCAATGTTCGGTCGTCGATGCTTGAACGACGCACAAAGATGGGAGATTCAGGTCAGTGGTCCCCTTCCCCCTCCCCCCAAGAACTCCCTCCTCCTCCTTTGTCCCTCCCCCCCCAGCCTCCGCTCCTCAGCCGCCCCTCCGTTCCATCCCCTCCTCCTCCGCCGCTCCCCTCCACCAACGCTCCCCTTCTCTCTCCTCGAGCAGCGCCGCCCGCCGCCAGCACTCCCCTCCACTGCCCTCTGCCAGCACTCCCCTCCACTGCCCTCTGCCAGCACTCCCCTCCTCCAGCGCTCCCCTCCACTCCCCTCCTCCCTTCCGGCAGCGCTCCCCTCCACTCCCCTCCACTTCCCCAGCGCTACCCTCCACTCCCCTCCTCTTTTCTGCCAGTGCTCGCCTCCACTCCCCTCCGCCAGCGCACCTCTCCACTCCCCTCCGCCAGCGCACCTCTCCACTCCCCTCCGCCCACTCCCGTCCACCTGTGTTCCTTGCGCTTTCCTTCGCCAGCGCTCTGCTTCAATCCCCTCAACCAGCACACCCCCCGCCAGCGCTCTCCTCCGCCAGCGCTCCCCTCAACCAGCGCACCCCCCGCCAACGCTCTCCTCCGCCAGTGCTCCCCTCCACTCCCCTCCGGCTGCTCGCCTCCGGCTGCTCCCCTCTGCTTGCGGTCCCCTCCTTCCTCCGCTGCCCTTTCGCCTCCGCAGCGGCTCTCCGCCCCCCAGCTGCTCCATCTCCACCTATCCACCGCCCCTCCACCCCCTCCTCCGCCGCTCTTCGCACCAGTGATCCCCTCCGCTCCCCTCCGCCAGCGCACCCCTTCCCCATCGCTCTACTGCGCCAGCGCTCCTTTCCACTCCCCTCCGCCAACGCCCCCCCCCCCCCCCCTCTGCCACCGCTTCCCCACCAGCGCACCTCTGCCTGCGCTCCCCTGCAGTCCCGTCCGCCAGCGGCTGCCCCTCCGTGCGCTCCCCTGCAGTCCCGTCCGCCAGCGGCTGCCCCTCCGCTTTCTCGCTTCCGCTAGAAAAGAGAAACATGTTAGGCGTGCAGTGTGTGTGTGTGTGTGTGTGTGTGTGTGTGTGTGTGTGTGTGTGTGTGTGTGAGAGAGAGAGAGAGCCCTTCTCCCTCCTCCGCCGTCACCCTTCCCCCAACCATCCGACTACCCCCATCCGAATATAAGTAACTGCCACCTCCCCCCCTCCCCCCTTATCAAGTGTGCTATCCGTTGCGATCGGTTTCATATGTGATCCGTGGTCCATGGG